ATCAAGGTTTACTTATATAAACTACTGGCTGTAGAATAGGACTCAGTCTGCGCGGATTTTTTTTTTTATATATCATAAGCTGGCAAACGAGCGAGCGGCCACCTGAAATCGCTGAAGTAGCGAAGTGACCGTTGTCCATAGACATACGCAATTGCATATGCGTTGCCTACCTTTAATCGACGGAGGAGATGATGCACAGAAATAAAATATTTTCCCTTTCCATGCATCCTCTCATCCGGAAAGTCCACTTCCACTTCCCATCCTTTCCTTATAAGAAAAGGGTGATAAGAAAAGAGCCGGAAAAATTCGTGCGAACATGTTAACGCGGGCTCTACCACTGTTAGTTATTCATTCAGTCATTTATTTCAAGTACAAAAGCATGTTAATTAAACAAATGCATCCGATTTTAACTTCATTCATATAAAAATCATTTAAAATTTTGTATGAACTCTTTTCAAGCAAACTGCTACTCTTTTTAACTAGTATTTCAATTAAATTTCCAATTCCATTTCGAACTTTGCACGTCCGAATGGAGCACTAAATTGAGTTTGTTCTGTGTAATTGTTCGTTATACATTCTATTATTACAATGCAACTTGATCGAACACGGGAATGGACTTTAAAAAAAAATTGCAGAAGAAGAATTAAAAAGCAGATTATCTAACAAGTTGAACACTAGCTGTCGCTCGCGGAAGTCCGTGTGGAATAAAAAAAAAAAAAAATTAGTAGCCTATGTGTTTCTCCAGACTATGTGCTACATCTATGCCAAATTTCATAGAAATCCGTTGAGTTATTCCGGAGATACCTTTCAACAAACATCCATCCATTCATGCGTCCATACTTTCACATTTATAATGTTAGTAATATTATAAAAGAAAACACTAACGAAAACTTTATCTTTATCAATGTTTATCTAAATAGACAAAAGTTTTTCAAAGACTATTACAAAATAATAGGAAAGTTTTTTTTTTAAAATTTGCATGTTATAAATATTACGAGCCGGTAGAGTCGCCGTCTAGTTAAATTATTACGAAATACTATTGACGCGTTCAAAACTATCCAATTTTATTTCGACTCTCAATTACATTCTTTTCATAATTAAAACTGAAGTGAAGTTCGAATTATTATTTTTATTTTGTAGCCCAGTTAAAAAGGAATCACAAAACTTTTCAACATTTTATTTACGAAATAATAAAAAAAAGATAATAAATTGTCTCTACTTTATTAAAGTTTTGAATTTGATGACGAGATTCTTTTATAAAAACAACTTTTTTACTTTACTTTGGCTGAAAATTGAACGGTAGATTTTTATAAAAAAAAAGTAATACAAAAAGTCCTATAACAAAGTCAAAACTTATACTTTAGATAGAATACTAAAAATTACTAATGATTGAAAAAAAAACAAGTTTTGTTTTTTTTGTCTTTCTTTACCTAAATAAAAAGCTTTGTATCTTTTTAAAATTGCATTTTACAATAATAAAATTCGATATCAATAAATAACTATAGCCTTCTTTTAGAACAACGCTAATAACAAATATTATTTATCCGCAATTTATGTTGGCAAAGGGTTTATCTATGGATGGTTTCTGTGAATTTATGGATCCGTACCCTCACAACGTTCCGATTCGATAGCTGCTGCAATAAACATTTTAACTATTACACGTTCTGTGAAAATAAATAATAGAGATAGCACAGATTTCGGTAAACTTACTTTGATATATATTTTTTTATATCATAAGGTGGCAAACAAGCGAGCGGCCACCTGAAATCGCTGAAATAGCAAAGCACCCGCTACCCATAGACATACGCAATTCCATATGCATTCCCTTCCTTTAATCGCCAGAGAAGATGCACAGAAAGAAAATATTTTCCCTTCCTATGCATCCTCTCATCTGGAAAGTCCACTTCCAGTTCCCATCCTTTCCTTATAAGAAAAAGGGTGGTAAGGGAAAGAGGACTAAATGAGGCCGCCGGGACGCACACTCATCAGATGAAACGCGGAATTGCTTCCACTTCACGCCTTCTGTGTGGTCGTGGTATTTCACCGGGCGAGCCGGGTCAATTCGTGCGAAGATGTTAAAGCTTGCTCTACCACTGTTAAATATTTCTAAAAATGTAGCAATTAACATGATTACGGAAATTATCGAGACTAATCTTACTTCTAATATGCATGAAACATAGTCTGAAAGAATGGATGTTTGTTAGAAAGTATCTCATTAAATTATTCAAACTTTCGTGAGACATTATAATATAATAAACTGATATAAAAACGGCTAAACACTGACGTATATTCGTCTGGTGGCGGCACCGACTAGTTTCGAGCCCATCGCGGGCCCTTTATCAGGATGAGTGGTAGTGGTATTATGTCGCTGAGTGAGCGACGGACCGCGTCCGCGAAATAATACCAGTGGCTATCAATGCGTCTGTATTTTTTTTAATGTCTGTTACCGCGTATCTCCGTCTCTGGTGCTCCGACTCTGAATTTTTTTTATCGAAAGGTTTTGCTTGCAGGTTCAATTTTTATATTTTTTTTATTTAAGAATAATATAGCGGGTAATTTAACACAACACAAATAACCGTTGGTTTCTGAGAATAAAATCTGTGTATAAAAGATATCGTCATCCCCATCATTATCCGTGACAAAACGGGGACAATGTTTTTTAAACGGGAATTTTGTTCTCGGAAATCCACGGTAAGTATAATTATTATTGATTAATTACCTGCAGTATTGTAGAAACAATAAGAGTTACATTAAAATTATCAGCACGCTAAAGCGTAATCAGTGGTCGCGTGGCTGTCAGCGCTTTTGGAACTTAATTACATGTTAAGAGATTGATTTCAACGAAAAAGAAATTTCACGTTGTAAAGTAAATCGATAAAGTTATTTAGAGTCCTGTAATATGTTACACTAAATTAACACTCAAGGCATTTTAATCCTTGACACCATCTGTTCACTTGTCTTTAGTTTTGTTCTATATTGGAAAGAGGAAAAAATATAATACATACTAGCTGTCGCCCGCGACTCCATCCGGCGACATTAAAAAAACTTAATAAGTTACATATGTGTTCTTCCATACTACATATTTTTTACAAATGTATACACTTATACAATTAAATAAACAGGATGAGTTTATTTACTATGTTCTACATTTATGACAAATTTCAGCGAGATCCATACAGCCGTTCCCGAGGTATGTACCTTCAAAAAAACATCCATCCTTTAATCTAAACATTCGCATATATAATATCAGTAAGATTAGTAAGATATAATAACTATGAGGCAGAGTTTCAAATATATAAATATAAGTAAAAAAAGAATACTAACTTTAATTAATAATAATTATCGTAATAATTTTATTAAAAATAAAATTAATACAAGTCTTCCTAGTTAAGGAGCCAAGGCAACATTGAATTTTGAATTTCTTGTGTATAACAATAAAGATTTTTTCATTTTTCATTTGTAGAAGATGTATTGTGCCGACCGTACATAAAAGAACAATAAACCGACGTTCTTTTTTTAAAATAATTTAAAGTCTTACATAAAATACTGGCTTAAAAACGACCAACCAAAATCAAATAAACATGTATACGTTTTCCTGAAGTAAATTAATACGCAAGAGAAAACTTCTACGCGTTTATAATTGAAATGGAAAAGTTTTAACGAGGTACAGTTAAAATTTTGTGACAGCGGTTATGTTTATTTAACTAATAACAAGCTATAACAACTAGTTTATAAAAGCGTTACAACTATATTAATAATATTACGTTTTAAATATTAACTTACTAAATAATTTCTTTTACAAATATGGCTGACGACAAAATCATTTAATCATGAAGGAAACACACTACACTTTCTTATTTTAATCCATTTTCTATTCTTGAGATAAAACACTTGCAAAAAGCTATACTTTAGGAGGACCGCAAGCACTCTGCCTTTTTATAATTTGTAAAATATTATTTAAACATATAAATGCGAATGTTTATATGGATGGATGGACGTTTGTTTGAAGATATCTCCGGAACGGCTCAACGGATCATGATGAGATTTTCCACAGATGTAGAACATAGTCTGGAAGAAAACATAGGCTACTCATTAAGTTTTTTTTTTAATTCCGCGCTGACGGAGTTGCGTGTGGCAGATAGTTATGAATATAACTCGTCTGTAAAAAGGTCTTTTTGTATCGACAATAGGGATTATTAACATTGAAATAAAACTCAAATTTTAGTAGTATAAGTTATAATAAAAGATAGTAAAAGTAAATCATAGCGTATCTTAATAAAACTAGCACAGTGTTTGAAATATATACTTTTTTGTTGTGAGCATTATTTTGTTATAGATTAAATTACACGCTTTAATTTTGCATTATTTAAAAAGTTTGTGATTTATATATTTACCTATCATGGATATGTACTTCAATTCTTCCCCTAAATTGAAATACAATCCATTATATTAATGAAAATGGATACAATCATAGCATTCATACAAAAAGTCAGTGATCACAAAAACGTTTTGAAAAAATCTAATTTCAGAGAAAAAAAAATGTTTGTGCGTATTACGAAAATTCTCTAATCTAAACTTCGAAAGTGCATTGAAGCCTTAAAATATGTGTAAATTTCCCCTTTTTACACAATATTTAATATTAAAATTAAAATTGAAAGTTAAGTTCCTTAATCTAATTTCACAACTCCACCGTTTCGTAGAAATGCTCTGTGTCTAAGTCTCTTATTTTAAAGCTTTTTTTTTATTTGAGTAGCTTATATCATAGAAAGCTGCAAAAAGCTTTCCCTTTCCAATATCATATCCGCTTTAAAAAAAACACAGATCACTCCTGCGTTAGGAGGTGGTCCCTTTACGAGTAATTTGTTTAAAGAAATTTTGTTTATTTTCTTAGACACTCCTATTACATTTTCATAAAGCTGGAAATCACAAAAATCTTGCTTTTCGTATTTAATAAGATATATTTTTTTTAATTAAAATTTACTGTTGAAGTTATACAAAGATCTTATAAATTAATTATTAATTATTTTGCCAAAAAGCGAATTTTCCTATTGCTAAATAAGCTAATAATAAGTTAATTCTAACCTAACTATAACTAACATCAGTGAATTAAAATTGTGTTCTACGCTTAAAATTAATATGATTCATATTTGATTGTGATGTGATATCTATTTTATAATAATATCATTTATTTCTTAAGTATATAACTTATGTAATATATAATTCATGGCGGGCAAATTTTTCACGCATATAATTTAGAGGCACTTCAAATTGTGGCTGAAATTGTGGCATTATATTATAATAGTGCACAAGATTATTGCTTAAAATGCGAAACCCTTATGATAAGAAAGCTTATTTTAATTTTTCTTTAATTATCTAAATGAATGTAAACACATGGACTGGGTATTTTGTGTCTTTAAAATTGAATTGGAAAAAGACTTTAGTTCTTATTTAATTTTATCGTATTAATACCCGATACATTCCTTAATCTTTGATTGAATTCCAAGATGAAATTATTTTTGAATTCTCGCATTCGATTTGCAGAAAATAGTTTAATTATCTGGTACTCGAATTTCCACAGTCACAGACGTTGGTCCTGCGGCAGTTGGCGATCGGAGAGTTGCCGACCTCAACGATGATGCTGAATGTCCACTGCTCGCCCGAGATCCACGACGAGATCCTAAAAGTACAGAACAAGCAATGAAAACAAAGCTAGACAAATTCTCAACTAATTTCATCGAGCCATGCTTAACCTCGAAATCTGAAGTCACCATGCTTGTTAGTAACCATGTTAATATATTAGTAATTTATCGATTCTCTACAAGCAGTTTTAAATCGATTCTCTAGTTTTTCTATTCTATTAGTTAAAGTTATATAAAGCAAGCTTCAACCTAAAATGTTATGGGTTTTATGAACAAATTATAGGAAATATTAAATTTGTCATCAAACAATGTCAATCATGCAATAGTCCTTTTAGAATTATATTTGTCATCATAAATAATATTAAAATGATTTTTTTACTCAATCACTGCAAGAATACTACGAAATACAATTCAGATTTAAGAATGTAGAGTCCAGACTATTTTAAATTGTATCGAGAAGCTTTTACTTAATTTTAATTTCTATATTCTAAGTGATTTCATATTAATACCGAATTATAAAGCAATTATAATTAACTAAGCTATTGTTTTAGTTGTCAGTGTATTTTTAAATATCGGTGCTATGATTTCAGTTGCCAATGTTTAATGTTCCTTTTTTAAATTCAATCTTATTATTTGATTGTTAGTGATACGAGGCAATATGAATTTTTTGTATAACCTGAGGGTTTTCGGTGTAGCTGATGGCTTTGGTGATGGCGTGCTGTAGGTAGATGAAATAATGCATGAATAACAATAATTGTTCATAATAAATACGTGAGACATAAATTATGTATAAATGTGTTGCGAATAATAATCAAATTTTTAATTTTTATCTTTGCGATAAAATTAGCAATTGCATCTAAAATACGATTTACCTCGCTGCCGACCAATTCTTGAAAAAAAAAGCAACAACATTGATAAATATATTAATATAATAGTAATAGAGATAGTTGTAATTTTTAAATTTCAGTTTACAAAACAAAAGAACTTTAATAAGTCAATTAGGGCAAATAAAAAGGAATGCGGCGAATGAAATAATTCCAAATTTTAAATGTCATCGTAAACGTACCAGGACTTGGCGAATGCGGTCTTAGCTCCTGTTGGCTTGCCTGGCGCGAAGGTGGGCGCATACTGACGCGGGAACCGCGACGATCCTTTAATCCAAGATTATTGTATATAATTTTAATTCTAATAAAGTTTAAATTACTGAAACTGCTGACCGCTTCTGTTAGTTAATCCAAGTTCCACGAGTGATTTGCATGAGATTGACTTTTCTATGTCTACAAGTAGGTATAAGTATATTCTTTCCTACAAATGTTATTAAATTAAATTAAAAAATTAAATTACCTGCGCATGAAGAAGTTTGGAGTCGCGCAACAAAGATACATTCATCAGCCGAGGGTTGGGTGTGTTGAAGATGGTTCGGTTCTCCCTCCATCGGGCCCTGAAAGAAAATTTCACATCCGCTTAAACTTCATATAGATATTAAAGCTACAAAAAAAATCAGACATTGATTTCGTTGTAATTGTTTTAAGCGGTGCGTAAATTCATACTTCTCTTTGGATTTTAAGCATTGTTTCTGAGCTAGAGTTCGTCATAGGTAGGTTACGTAAATATTGTTTGTATTTTAATCTAGCGTTTTAAAAAAAGCCTACCTGCTGAATAGACGAAGTACAACGCAGATGATTACAAACATTAGAGCCATTCCAACGAGAACACCAATCATAGCCGGGTCGAGGGTCTGCGTGGATTCCTCTACTTGCTTCTGGGCTGAAGAGAAAAAAATATTTTATGTAATAATTTAAAATAATAAATTATTTTGCATATAAACATGTTTTTACTGCACTTAAAATATTTATCTTAAAAACTATCATTTCTTTTGCAAAGCACTTTTTATTAAATATTAGAAACAATTATTTCATCGTTTCCTAATACTTAAATTTTAAATTGAAGACAGCGCCATCTAGTTCCATTGTTATGACAACTTTTAAATGTTTTAACTAAAACTAACGACTATTTGAAACTAGATGGCGTTGACTGTCTAAAATATGTCTTAATTTACTTACATTTACAAATGATAGCGCCACCGACGGTAACCTCTGGAACCATTTCGTACATGCAGACGCAGCGCTCGTTGCGGCAGGTCGTCTTGATAACCGCCGCCTCACATTGCTGGTTGAACGTGCACGATTCGTTGATGCCTGCAGCTGAAAACGTACAAAAAAATTACTTTTCTGACCGTAGTTCACACGGAAGGACATCGTCCCATGAGGACTGACCTGACTGTTGAAGGGTAAAATATTTCTATTTAAACGTGTAGTTTGTATGTATACTTTTTTAATTTGTTTTTATTAGATTATAAGGTGGAAAAGAAAAGAGCAAGTCTGTCTTCTGTGTCCTAGTATTTCACCGGTATAACGTCCCATTCTTGCAGCAGGTGTTGATTGCGTTTACCATAGTTATGTTGTTTTGTATTTTATTGCTTGCATAAAATTGGATCCATTATTTTCCTAAACTTATATGACACATTAAACGTTTTCGAAGACACACATAATGTGTTACAATATTACAATGCGAATGTTTGTATGCATGGTAGATGGATGTTTGTTACAAGGTATCTCCAGAACGACTGCCTGGATCTCGCTGAAATGTGAAATACATGTAGAACATAACCTGGAAGAACATATAGGCTACTAATTAAGTTTTTTTTATTCCGCGCAGACGGAGCCGCAAGCGACAATAAGTAAATCAATAATTCTCTACTCGCAATAAATATCAACAGAACAAAACAGAAAAACTAAATTATATTTCGTAAAAGCAACATTAATCTTTACTTTAAAAACATTTGTTGTGTAAGTTTCATACAAAAATACGAAGTAATAAAATTCCACTCATTCATATCTTATGAAGTTTTGCAGCATTCCGAGTTACGTTTTGCGAGCGACGACCCTTTCGTAAATATAACATGAGGTACTTTCAGTTTGTATTATTCTTACAAACAAAAGCCATGAATTAAATTAGATTAATGTACCTTTCTCTAACATGTATGCATATAATATACCAGTGAATCTATAGTAAATATTGACGGCCGCAAATAAAGAATTATTTGTCTATAAGATCACTTCTAGAAGCGCATTTTTAACGTGAAATTATAATCATCATCATCATCATCAGCTCACTATACGTCCCCACCGATTGAGAGTCCCGAGTGATTAGGCCATATTCAACCACGCTGGCTTCACACATTTCTTTTCAGATATGTGCAGGTTGCATCACGATGTTTTTCTTCATCGTAAGAACGTCGGATAAATCTACTTATGTTAATCGAAAAACACATTTGTACATTATGGGATTCGAACCCAGGACCTACAGATTGCAAATCAATTGCTTGACCGCTGAGCCACCGACGCTCTTACAATAACATCGACAAAAATTGTTAAAATTTGGAATAGTTTTAACTTCTATTGGCCTTCAATTGAGTAGTATTTTAAGATTAAAATATTGTGTATTGAAAAACCAAAATAAAATTAATATTACAAACTATATAATTATTATAATACATTTTATTTATGACGTTACAAAAACAAAAAAAAAATCTTAAATCTATAATCTATGATATTAAACAAAATATTAAAAGCAAATAATTAACTAAAATATATTATTAAAAGGAGTCCCTTTAGGTAAGGTTTTGAAGATACTGGCAGCGTTCCCCCTTTGAATAGCTATACTAATTCTTTGTCCGAGGTAGCTGCCAGCTCTTCGGTCCCATGTAATTTCGATTACCTTTTTTTGTTATTTCCTATTTTATTTTTGATTTAAAGTATATTATGTTAACTTAGAAATTCATTTTGAGAGAGATTCATTTGGCTTTTGTTAAAACATATTTTTTTCTTTTCACTTACAATTAAAAGAAGTAATAAGCTATATTTTTCTTATTTATGTGTAACTAGATGCGAATATCGTATTAAAACGTTTAATTCTTGTTCAATTGGATAGGTCGTATCTACCTACTTCTTAACTCTTTAATCATTTTCATAAAGAGTTTCAAGGAAATAGTTTGGTTAGCTTAAGTGAAACATTACTGTAAATGAGGATGTTCGCACTTTGAATTCGTTATGTTTGTTAATACTGAAAACACATGCATGATAATAATAAAGGTCCGTGTACACAGATATGGTCAGAGAGCAGCGTAGTTTTTTGAGCAAATAAAATTAACGACTTTGCAATTATAAATAGTATGTTCAAAGTAAAATTAAATTATTTTTTAGTATAATATAAAGTTCAATTTTATTTGCGACAAAAAATGTCTCTGCTCTCCACCTTGGTCTATGTAAAAGGACCCTTATACTTTAGTACCTGAAACCGATACATAGCATTCAAGGAAGTACAGTGAACTACTACAATTTTACACCTAAGTCTCAAATGATTCGGATATAATTTGGCTACATTTTTCTACTTTTAATAATCATACTAATTTTGATGTATGGATGGAAAGATTGATGTTTGTAGGAATGCATGCCCAGAACGGTGAGATCTCGATTAAATTTGGCACTGATGTGGAACATAGTCTGGAAGAACACACAGGCTACAATTTTTTTATTTCCCACAGAAGTTGCGGGACATGAAGACAGCTAGTTATAAAAATTAAGTTAAGCAATGTAACTTAGAATATAGCTTCAAACAATTTTGCAATGTTACCATTTGTTAAGTCAAAGCAATGTGCACTTCACTTTTAATTAGTTCGTATTGTTTATGAATTTTTAAAGTAGGTCATTATTTTAATAAGTTGAAAAAAAATACAAAGGCAGGCCTTGGATAATTACGCGTGCATAATAATTATATGACAAAACAAAACCACCATTACGTAGATGACGTCACGCGAGGTGCATGCTGCATCGATCGTGCTCGGGTTTTACCTGAAGCTTTTATAAGTAATATGAATACATTTCTTTACAAAATTTTTTCTCCCATTTAGCTAAGATATATAAAATGTTATATTTTACTTGATGCAAGAAGTAGCTAGTAGAATAAATAAATAATTTAAAAGATCTAACGTTGTTATATTTAACTAGCTGTTGCCCGCGACTCCGTTCGCACGGAATTAAAAAAACTTAATTATCCTATCTTCCCCCATACTATGTTCTACATCCTTACTAAATTTAATCGAGATCCGTTTAGCCGTTCTGAAGATACCTTCAAATAAACATCCATCCATCCATCTAAACATTCGCATTTATAATATTAGTAAGATTACTTTTTTGCGAATACAAACTTGTAAGTTATAGACCCTTAGCTTTCTATAACCTACAACTTAAAATCTTGTACAAAGATAAGCTATTTAACTTTTTCTTCATATGTTTTTGTATTAATCTTTCGACAATGTTTATTAATTATAATATACATATTTATGCAGCTGACTGTACATCTATCCGGGTATAATACTAATGCAGTATGTCGTATGTACACTGGCTTAAATTCCAAGCTTACCTTTTGCACATTTATCAAAGTCGTTTGAAATAGGCATGGTGGGGTCGCAGCGGCAGTTCTCTCCGTCACAGATGGAATGCTGGAAGCCGCACTCGTCAACCGACGTGCATGAGTCGCCGTACATCTTCGTGCCGCGTTTAGAAGAATCTAGAAGTTTAAAAAGATTAAAATAGATCGTGCAAATAAAATATCTTAGCCTCATTGTACAATTGATTTCGAATAAATTGAATGATACTTCGAAATACTTTATAGGAAAGAAAATAAGGTAAATATCTTTTATGTTTAATATTCAATCTTAGACTGTGGAGACGCAACTGGTCTGTACCTAGTGACAACATTTATACTGGAAGCTAGAACTTTGACGTTTTTAAGAACAAAAGAAGAACTTTAAGAACAAAAGACAGTTGACATTTATTAATCTTAATTCTCACTATTATCATTAAATCAAGTGTTTACATGTTTGCGAGAAAGTATCTCCGGAACGGCTGCATGGATCTCACTGAAATTTCGCATACATATAGAACATAGTCCGGAGGAACACATAGGCTACTAATTAAGTTTCTTTTTAATTCCGCCCAAACGGAGTCGCGGGTGACAGCTACTTATGTTTATAATTACCGAATTCCGTAGTGCTAGATACGTCCGGGTCAGCAGTGGTCGGCGGACAGGAGAGCAGTAAGGCCGCGAGCGTTGTCAGCGCGGCCAGGCCGGCCGCGGCCACCCCGCGTTGTGCGCGCCGCATGTCGCCCGCTGTACCCCCGTCACATCACAATACAACCTCTGCAATCAAATAATTCCAATTAATTATAATATTAAAAATCAATTCTTCATCACAATCATCATCGTTAGAAATGACTACCTCTTCCTAGATTATTTCTTTCTCCTGTAAATATATGGATATGTTTCTCTTTTCATTATGTAGAAACTATTTCATCTTTCTTGATGAAGTTTTCAACTCCCTATGCTATCTTATATTTTTTTTGATACGATACGATGTCTACTTTCATATAAACCGTATGATACTTTAAATAAGGCTCTTGGTGTATCCAAAACTTTTGACAAACTTTATTTTTTAAATTTATATCATGTAACAATTCAAAAATACTTACATACGTTTCAAATTGCTATGGCTAGGTTAATCATTGAATTTGGTTCAGACATTCTTTTACGGTTTCAACCATACTGAAGGTATGAATGAAATTAATTGCTATAAGAGGCTTAAGCGTTTTCATTGAATGTAAGAATTAATGGAAAACATTTATGCGTCAAAGCCTTTTCAATTTGGTACACAATTATACCCTTGTAATCGGCTTATTCGGGTCACTTTGTAATTTAACTTGACTATTACTTACAAAATGTTTGCTTCAAGTATCCAATATAAATAAACGTATTATAAACACTAAAAGTTAACTGTAACCTCACTCAGAATCATCAATCTGTAATTATGGGCAACCCTTAGTGTTGATTTTTTATAACTGCACTAAGGGTCACACTGTAACTGTAATATTTCATTTAAATAAATACCAAAATGTGCGTTGGTGGCTCAGTGGTCAAGCACTTGACTTGCAATCTGCAGGTCCTGGGTTCGAATCCCGCCGTGTACCAATGTCTTTTTCGATTTCCGATTTACATATGTACATTTATTCGACGTTCTTACGGTGAAGGAAAACATCGTAATGTAACCTGCACATATCTGAGAACTTCAAAGATATGTGTGAAGTCAACCAACCCACACTTGGCCAGCGTGGTTGACTATAGCCTAATCACCCTTAACTTTGGGTAGGCTCCGAGCCCCTCGGTGGGGACGTATAGTAAGCTGATGATGATGAAATACCAAAAGTAAGCATACTAAAAAAGTATGGATAAATTGTTATTTCAATTTATTGAACAGAGAGGTATTTATCTGTAAAATGTGTTAAATTGTTCATGACTTTGGTTAACCAAGCATTTTCTGCTTCAATAAAAATTGTCACGACAAATTGCAGTCGCTTGTAACATGCGGTAAATCATTGCTTAAAAAGCGTGTAACGAAAATGACGCGCTATAAATTAATTTAATTAAACTCCGCAAATTAGCAATTATTTTATAAAATCTTTTAATTAATTTATACATAATCTATTTATATAAAAGAAAGTCGTGTTAGTTACACTATTTATAAATCAAGAACGGCTTTACCGATATGGCTGAAAATTGGTGAGGAGGTAGCCTAGAGACAGGAGACGTACATAGGATACTATTTATTCATTTTTTTTTTCGAATTTATGCCCTGAAGAACTGCTTTTTATTTAACTTATTAATATTATAAATGCGAATGTTTAGATGGATGTGATGTGGATGGATGGATGGGGTGGGCTACACTAAGTTTTTTATATTTCCACGCGGACGCAGTCGCGGGCGACAGCAAGTTATTAATAAATTCTTTTTTAAATTGAATCGTGGAAATTAATCTGAATCTTAGTCATTATAAATGCGAATGTTTAGAGGTATGATGGATAGGTATGGATGTTTATTACAAGGTATCTCCAAAACAGCTCGATGTATTTCGCTGAAATTTGGCACAGATGTAAAAACATTTTGGAAGAACACATAGGCTACTGAGTCTTTTTTTTAACAACGGAGGAAATTTTTATTTTTATCGTATATTAGTAGATTTCTTTTTGGGAATTTACTAATATTTCTTGTACCATTTCAACTAAGCTGTATGCTTGTGCTATGATATGGTTTACAACAATAGTCGAATGGCGGGATTCGAAGCCCCGACCTCGTGATCGGAAATCCATATCCTTAACCATTAGGCTATTGACGCTTATTGACGACCAAATAGTCAATGTGGGGGAAACACCCAATCGAATAGAACTTCTATACCTTATTACAATAACGTTATTATTGCAACATACTGCTGTTCCTTTATTTCTTTTTCCACGCCATATAATCAGCAAGGTATCAAGATTAGTGGCCAGTTAGTGACCAGTAAAAGTCGCAATATTGTACTACATTCCATTAGTCATCGACATGGAATTTCCATTAGCTTTCCTACTAAACACGGCTTCCTAATACAATTAAACTTATTTTATTACGTGTTTTATTGATTCACTCTATTTCAAATCTATGCGAAATTATAATAAGGCTCTTCATACACTCTGGTGGTGGACACGGGGGAGACCATCACCAGCGACTGAGGGCTGCCTCCCCCCCGAGAGGGAGCTGCCTCGGCAGCTGACGCAGACGGGGCCGCGGACGAGAGCGAAAGCGTGCCCGTGGTCCCGTCCCGATGCGTTGGAGGAACAGAGGGGTTTAGTGGGTATGCCTCCGCTATGGAGGAGAATCCCACATAACTACCGCGTCCCCCCCGGGGCGCGGAGTATGCATAAAGCATTCCCCTCTGAAAAAAAAAGGCTCTTCATACCCAAAGCGCTTTTAACCTTCGAAACTCGGCGATTTCAATCGCTAAGCGACTTAATAAGATGACAAAGGTTCGTGTTATCGCCAAAACCAGTTGCTGGCAACCTGTTTGTTAAGATCGTTGTGAGAAAAATTGCTACTATTTTCAAGATAGCGGAGCAAATTAATACAGTTGATATGTAGTCGCTATACTTGTACTGACCGAATAGACGATGCGCGTCGACGATTTGACGTTGTGTGTACGACGCACGTTAGGCGATTCTGACGACGCGAAGGGCCTAATTTGGAATTCTGTTTTCATAGACACATACAGTATTTCATTGCAAGGCAATTTTAAGCGCCAAAGGAGGAGATGTTTGGACAAAGAAACGTTTTTTTTATATCCTTTTGATAGTTTTATCTTCAAACAAGAAACTCAGTCCATCTAAATTTACTTAAAAAACTGTATCACAAACAAAAACTTTTAACAAGTAGGCTTTTAATAACTCAATAAAACGGTATAATAAGTATATTTGAAAGTCGCCAAGGAAATTCAAATAAGTGTTTATTTTGAGGAACAACATTTTCGTCTTGTAACTTAATCGACCTTTGCGGCTTTAAGTGTCTAACTTAGTTTGCAATGTATCGATAATTTTAGAAACTAATCTAATCTAACCTTACGAACAAGAAAACCCGACTCAAAGTTTATAACGGTTATAAATTGATTTAGTTTTTTGATATTCCGTGTGTTAGTTTAGAACTTGTACAAAAATATTTATCTTTTTTTCCCAAAATTAAAAATATAAAACTTAAGTGATTATTAAATTTAATAGTCACTCAGGGTGTCCCTTAGTGGGCATAAAACGTCTCTGAGTAAGACAGTTTGTTATCAAGATACGATAAAGATCTAGCAACCGGACACATTCACGTATGAGACATCTTTCCTTAGTTTTCTGTGACAACTCACTTCAATATTAGTGGTTGCAGTTTATACTCTATTTTGTACCGCATAAGGTTGTTTTCATTTTAAAATTTTAACGCATGCGTAGTCTTGATACCGCAGTGCGCGGCGCCTACAAGACGACTGGAAGCGTGAGGTTTTCCCATTAAACAAAATGTTGCCATTCGTGACGCATCTGCAAATGTTTCAGCCAACTTTCCAACTGTATTTATGTATTGTACACAATGCTTGTTAATATTTGCTCCAACATTTGCTTATGTCGCGTGCATAATAACATGAAATATTATGTTTTAACTGCGTCTTTAGGCGGAAAAACATCGATTACTACTTCTCTTGTTAAAATTATTTACTTTTTGATATATGGACGATTATGTTCAAAATCAATAGAAAAGTATTAATTAAGGTTTATTTCTATTGAATTGTAGATTATTAAGAATCCACGCCTACGCCGTAGACGTCTTCGTAGACACGCAAAAGTAATATTAATTTGTAGGTCTCCTTTAACTGAATATAGTTAAATATTATCAAAAGTTACAAATTCCTATGCAATACATATTTTAATTTTCTTAAATATTGTTACTAAAAACTTATTTAAAAATTATAATATATATAAAATTCTAGTGACACAACCTTAGTTACCATACGTCACGGCTTTTCAGATTTTTTTGAAATTTTATATGTATATTTAGTAGGTGTGTGAATCGGCTACTATCTCTATAAGTGAAGGGTTGTCCACCTCTACCCCTAAAGTTTGATAAAATACTTTATCAAACTTTATTTAATATGTGATAACACTATAAATAAAATTATAGTCATATTTCAAAGCGAATATCAATAGGAAATACTTGTATATCGTTGACTTTGATTACGTGACCCAAATAATAATTCCTAATTTCATTTCTTGTAAAAAAATATGTAAATTACTACTAAAACTTCATGCCAAAGATATTACGAGGGAGTTAATGCGAGTCAGTCACAAAGGCTACTTGGTTGTTAATTAATGAGCAAACTTCGTAAGCTAGTTACAAGAGAACTGAAAGTCTATAGTACTATATACTCAGAATCGTTGAAGGGTTATTTAACAGTCCCTAAGTGTACATTTTTAATACCAAATTTATACTGAGATCCCTTAAAAACTTATATTTAAAATCTCTATTTTTGACAGTAAATAACACTTCCTGCGTCTTTAAAAATGATTCTAGTATAACGAAATTCACAGTTGAAATTTTATTTACAAAACTAGCGGTCGATGGTGAATTCTTCAGCGCAGAGAAATGTGACCTATAATATTATTCACACGTGCATCAGCTCAGCTACCTTCCAATCGAATCGCGTTATAATTTTTAGGTAGAGTTCTTCAGTCTGTCCTACCGTGGGTTTCCGAGACCAAAATCCTCGTTTAAAACATATCTGTGTTGAAAGATGATGACAGGGATGA